TGATGCTACCAAAAATCGTACCTGTAGATTTTCCGAGCTTGATGACTGATGATGAGCACGAACGTGATCTTCCGATACCTGAAACAAAGGCAACGAGGTGTGTTCTCGTCGCCCCTCCGATGCTTAAGTCAGAAAGGGAAATATATGCGTGAGGCTATATGCTGAAGAACAATGAGAAAAACGTACTTGAATAATGGCCCAAGGTTCTGCTTTTATAGGAGTAGGTAGTGTACTCCTAGTAGGATTGTGTTGGTTGGATGTTTTTATCCAAGGGAATTTCTATTATAAAGAATGTCCTACTTGTAACGGAATTGTTTGACAAGTGGTGTTAGGGTTGATGTAGAATCCTTGGGTTTTTAGGTTTGTTAGTTAGGTACCCAGGTTTTAGGAGGTACGTTGGTGGTGTGTGTCTCGAGGACTATTCTCGAGGACATTGAGGGAATGTAAAAGTGTCCTCGAGGTATCTCGAGGACTACAATATCTCGAGGACTTAGATGACCTCGAGGACTGAAGAAGAGAAATGAGGTGGGGGTATGTATTGAGTCCTCGGGAATAAATGCCTCGGGTGTATCAATATTGGCATAGTCAGGAGGTGATTCTGCCAATAGGTGGTGAGAAGTAAGGTTGACTGTGCAGGATTCGAAGGGTTGAAAATGTGGGTTAGGGTTGGGGACAAAAATAGAGATGGAAAGTGGATTGGAATGAGGTGTGATGGATTGACACCTGATTTTTGAAATAAAATTTATTTGATTTGATTATTGAAATGAAAAATTAAAAATTAGGTTTGTGCGTAATTTTCGCTTTTTTGTATTACTCTTACCAATAATCACGAGGGGTATGGGCCGCAGCAGCCGAATGGGTGGGTCCCACGTGCCAAACGAAGTTCAAAATTCAAAACTAGAGGGGGAAACAAGTGCCGCCCAAGAGCCGTTGCAAAGAGGAAGAAAAGGCCGTTGAAAACAGACGCTCTCTCCAATTCTGGATTTGCCATTAAAGTATAGAAGCATCCGCCATTTGTCCATAGTCAATACAAATCTGTAGAATTACAGTAGGATTAATCGGCAGTCGAGGGTTCCTGTAGAATTTTGTGGTCGACTGAATTGAACCAAACGGAATACAGAATGGAAAAGTACGAGAAATTGGAGAAGGTTGGAGAAGGGACATATGGGAAGGTATACAAGGCTAAGGACAAGGCGACCGGGCAGCTTGTTGCCCTGAAAAAAACCCGTCTCGAGATGGATGAGGAGGGCGTTCCCCCTACCGCCCTCCGCGAGGTCTCTCTCCTTCAGATGCTCTCTCATTCTCTCTATGTGGTGCGCCTTCTCTGTGTCGAGCACGTTGATAAGAATGGCAAACCTGTTCTCTATCTCGTGTTCGAGTATCTTGATACTGATCTGAAGAAGTTTATTGACACTTTCCGTAAAGGCCCTAACCCTGGGCCAATGCCGCCCACTCTCATCCAGAGTTTCCTTTACCAGCTTTGCAAGGGGGTAGCGCACTGCCACAGTCACGGTGTCCTCCATCGGGATCTCAAACCCCAGAATCTACTTGTTGATAAGGAAAAAGGGATCCTCAAGATTGCGGATCTTGGGCTAGGGAGGGCTTTTACTGTTCCCCTCAAGAGTTACACCCACGAGGTACTTACATTTTTACTTTAATCGAGTTTACCTATGATTGATTGTGGAAAATTAATAGATTAGCATAATTCACTGATCCAATCATTTTTTCCTTTATTTTACTTCCTTTTATTTTTGAATATGTGTAGATAGTTACTCTCTGGTACAGAGCACCTGAGGTTCTTCTGGGATCCACTCATTACTCTACGGCTGTTGATATGTGGTCTGTTGGCTGTATTTTTGGTGAGAACCGAATTTTTCCCCTGTATAAGAGACATCTTGCGAAATTTAGTTATCCACCTTTGTTTCACCCTTTTATTGTTTAAATATTAGATACTCAAAATTTGTAAAATTTTGAAGACGCAGTTTTGTTGAATAGATAAATGTAGTCATATACTCTGTTGTTAATTCTGTTTTTTATTACAGTAGTTTTTGTACAGATCTTAGCCTTTTAATAGTAGGATCAGGTTCTTGAATCATTGAATAGCTTTGGGTTTTTTGGCTTTATGCAGCTGAGATGGCAAGAAGACAAGCTTTATTTCCTGGTGATTCTGAGTTCCAGCAACTGCTTCACATATTCAGGTATACTTTAATCCCTACAGTTGGATTAGTCGATGGTTATGCAGTCTTCTGCTTGGCTATATTATATTTTACATCTCAGGATTAGTTGTTGAATCAGCTCTTTCCCCATTGTATTTCTTTGCACTTCGACTGTCAGAAAGTTTTGGTTTATTCTACGTTAATCAAATTACTGAACATAAAATTAAGATATGGTTCTTATTTGCACGGGTAAACCTTAAAGTGCTAAACTATCAAACTAGTATTGTATTTTAGAGGTTTTGTTTGTAAATTAGGACGGTAAAATATTATAGTTACGCTATGGTTGAAGACTGAATTTCAAAAAATACATGATCTTATCTCTAACTGAGGTATTTCAACGTAAAGCAGTCAAACGATCTCATCTCCACCCGTAATGCACAAGGTCTTTGGTTAATAGATGAAATTGGCCTACATGTGAAGGGACTTGTTGAAGAACATTCTTTAATAAATGGATTTCTCCCATTTATAAAAGCGTAAGCTTTTGGATGTGGTGGTTCAACATATATGATGGCTTGATAGATGAAATGTTGTGTTTACCTGTTTTATTTGCTTTGGAAGTATATTTTTTAAGGTAAGGGAAATAAAACTTTGTTTTTATTGTTGTTGTAGAATTATGTGGTTTCGGGCTATACTGCTACTAGTTCTTCTAAAGATCTATAGATTGTTCATGTTTGGTTTGCATTTCTGTTTCTACTGATACAAGCAAGTTTAGAGAAGATAGTGTAGTAGAAGTATCATATGATAGTAAATGGGTTACCTCTTTCCAGATGTTAAAATTATCTTCAAATTTTGATGCACTTTGTTCGTTGTAGTGAGAGATTTCAGTCTTGCACAAGTTATTTAAAGAAGGGATTTATTGTTATGTTCGATTGAAAGAAACTCACTAGTTGATTTTTTATCTCTTATTTTTCGCAAAAGCATTTACAATCAAGTTTCAATTGTGTAAGGCCATTCCATCCAATTTATGGATGTCACTCGTTGCTTAATTTGCGAGCATGACATATTTCTTCTCACAAATTACTATGACTTGTTCATCATGGAAGGTTGCTGGGAACACCAACAGAGAAACAATGGCCAGGAGTTAGTTCATTGAGGGATTGGCATGTGTATCCACAATGGGAACCTCAGAACTTGGCTCGTTCTGTTCCATCACTGGGACCTGATGGAGTTGACCTTCTATATGTAAGTTTTTACGCTCAAGCTTGTGTTTATATACCTAAGTTGCTCGTGTTGTAATAAGCCTATGTACGTAACAATTTTTTGCTGTCAAGTTCCATTCAGACAGGTAATAGTTATATAGGGCTTGCTTTCTTAACAAAAAACACATCTATCACTTTTATGTGTCTCAAAAGGAAAAGTAGAATTATCAGTAGATGAATCGTGATTATTATAGCATATGTATTGTCAGAATCATGCTACATGTACAAGGAAAGTTTGCTAGACAGTTTGATAAAATGTCATGTGGCAGCACTGCATTCGTCATTTTAAATTTGTTTTTGGTCCAACTTCCAATGTATTGCTGCCACTTGGCATTATGCCTTGCAAACCATTTTGTACTAGGGGCTCAAACTGGTATGGTCATTTGTTTGCTGAAAATTGTGTGACTAAAGTTATCGTTGAATGATGCAGAAAATGCTTAAATATGATCCAGCTGACAGAATTTCTGCTAAAGCTGCTATGGACCATCCTTACTTCGATGGCTTGGATAAATCTCAATACTGAAGTCAATTACCTTAGATGTTTAACAAAGGACTAAGCCACCATAGTTGAAGGATGTGTCATCATCTTGGTGATTTGATCTTTATCGTGTAAACATTTTCGACTTTTACATTGCGTTTATCTCATCAACAATGAATGGAGTACTCTTGGAGAATTTATTTTATCTCACATCCAATGTATCATAAAATCAACGCACCCCTAATATGGATTGTGGAAAAAAATTTCTCATGTCAGCAAAATGGACGTTAAAGTAAAAGGTTGCTCAAATATGAGTTCTTTTAATATGGCAAATAAAAAAATAGATATTGTGAAGAGCGATAGCCGACACTTGAGCAAAATTTAAGATTTCTTTCTCTTGGTTTTTATTTTTTTCCTCTTTGATTTATTGGTTTTTCCACTATTAAGAGCGTCTTCAAGAAATTCATTATTTTTAATGACTATATCATTTAGCCCATGTTTTTTATTCTTTACTTTACATTCTTTTTCATTATTTATTCTACAGTACTTATTTTCATTATATATTCGCCATTAAAATAATATTACACACAAATCAACAATTTTTTTTAACTATACATTATTCGTTAATCAGTATTTTATAATACATTTCTTCAAATTAATGGGGCTGAAACGGGGGCCAGAGAGCATTAAAAAATTTAAAGAGTATAGATTTGGAAGCTAAAATTTATTATTTTTCTCTATCTTTCATTTTAATTAAGTATAAAAGATAGAGAAAAATAATATAATAACAAAAATAATAATATAATTAAAAAAAAAAGAATATAGTACTCAAGTTCCTGAATTTAATTAAATTAGATATGAAGTCATGATCAAAATATTGTTGAATGGAAGCTTCTCAACGGACTAATCTAACCTTGGTACAACATGAATTTCATGTGGCCCCGATCCTTGTTTGCTGGTCCACTAAAATTAATTGGGTTGACGTGCAAGATTACAAACTTCCTATTAATATGAATACACATGAGCTATTTGCTGACATGCGTCAAAATCGACGTCGTATGACACTCAACACGCCAATTTCATCAACATTATGCTGACTCCATTGACCAAAATATGATGCATATCTCTTATACAGATCCTATAAATTAAAAAAATAATTGTTCGGAGATAATTATTGTTCGACTCTTCAACTTATGTCTAATGTGGTAAATAGGTCCATGTGTTTATCCATCCAATTTAATCAGTAACATTCTTTCCTCCTTCCATCTCTACTCCTATATTGCTATCCCATAGTAGTGAAAATTGGTAAGGAAACAGGATGGAAGGGGATAACAGACCGAAAAAAGGAATATAGAGGCATCGAGTGACTATAAAGAGTTCGGGAATAAGTAGTTCAAGTTTTTATTTATTGTTTCATTAACTACTAAGAAAGTCATACAAGTTGACTGTTGTTGATACACCAAAGCTGGCATGAAAATTTTCACCATCAACTTAAGAAGAAATTAATGAAATAAAAAAGTGTTCTTGCTGAAATAATCGTAAAATATATGTAGTCTTCGTTAAGTGGTGTTTCATGAAGTGTTACAAAGACAAGCTTGGCATGTCCCTTCTAGTTTGACGTTTGTATCATTATATCGACCCAAGGTCAAGGTGTTCTCCGTCTTATCAAGCTATAGTATATGCCTTCAAAATACATGTCACTGTCCTATTCGAATGAATCTTATTGATTGAAGAGTTCGACAAGGTTAAACCATCATTGACACTTTTTCGGCTCTGATTGATTGTAATCGAAACTATGTTGATGTCATTGAGAATCATTCCTCACGTGCACATATTTTTACTAATTTAACTTTATTCGAAGTGACTGCTCAAGATCAAATATTTACATTTATCATGCAATTGGAATAGATGAAATAATGGGAATCAACCAACAACAAGACCATATTAAAAGTTAAATATATACATGTGACAAAATAAAGATTGGTACCTACATTTTACATTTAGCCTAACCTGAAAACCTCGACATAAATTTTTCTAACTTGAAAGTATGACTAATTGATTGCAATAAAGACGTACGGCTAACTACCCCACTCTCATCTAACTTCTTTAAGATGACATGCCACGTCACCCAATAGTCTCTCTTCAGAGTTCAGACCATCATCTCATATATATTTACCGCGGTATACATCTCTATCGAATTACCACGAATTTTTGAAATCGTGTTCATCACTACTCGTAATTTTCTGGAAAATATGGTAGTATAATTTGATGGCATCTGTATGTTAATCACCTACCTGGCCCCTAGAATCCTGTGAACCATTCAATTTCGGCGAAAAGAGTTGAATTCCTGTTAGTTTGTTCGATTCTTTAGCGGAATTTATATAGGTTGTTGATAGCTTCTAGAATTTTGCTTAGAATCTGCCTCGTGTTTATAGGGGGAGATCCTCAAATTTTTGAATACTGCTGCAGGAATCTTGTTGTGCATTGAGTTGAATTTAAGCTACTGTATAATTCCACGCGATTTGTATAGCAGCTGCAGAGAGGAAGAAGACTGTTAATGGAGGTGGATTCATCGAAGCAAGAGGAGAAGAAGACGGTGATGGCTCATCAGGATCGCAACCCGGACAAAAAACGTAGAAGAAGAATCATATGTCTGGTGGTGATATCAGTGATTTTAGCTTTAGCCCTAATTTTCACGATTCTGGGGCTCACAGTATTCAAGGCCAAGCGTCCCGTCACCACCGTCAATTCCGTCGCTCTTACCGATCTAGATTTCTCACTTGACATAGCCAGGTTCAGGGTTCACTTGAACGTCACAGTCGACACCAGCGTCGCCGTGAAGAACCCTAATAGAGTGGGGTTCAAGTACAAAAACAGCACTGCGTTGTTGAAATACAGAGGCATCATGGTGGGTGAAGTCCCCATTCCGGCCGGAAAAATTAGCGCCCGTGACTCGAAAATCTTGAACTTGACGCTGACACTTATGGCGGATCGGGTGCTGTCCAACTCCAATTTGTACTCCGACATATTGTCTGGTACGTTGCGTCTCCAGACTTACACGAGAATTGCTGGAAAAGTGCGCATATTGTTCAATATTCATGTTGTCTCCTACACCACTTGTGATTTGGAAATAAGTATTTCCAGTAGGAATGTTACTAAACAGCAATGCCAGTACAAGACCAAATTATAGTCTATACACAATCTATCAATGAAGAGGAGAAGATATATTATATGTGTTAAAGGGGTCATCCAAATTTGTTGGGAACAGCTTATTTTCTTGTTGTCTAATAGAAACATTATCGATAAATCTTTAGATAGATTTAAGCTATCTGTTTTTTGTTAATATGAAATTATTATTTAGTGAACTTAGATCTTGTATTTAAAGAGGGTAATGCTCAGTTTGTAAAAATGTTTGATTATTTCCACTACACACTTTGGAGAGGAAGAAATTTTTTTTCTGTTTTTTTGCTTATGATTCTTGTAGAAGAGATTAGTGAGGAAATTGTTTCCTCTAAAAGCTTCTCTAATCATCCGATGTAAGTCCAAAAATTATTCTAACATGCCCTCGAGGCATAGTCCAGTGGTGCAAAGGATAGGAGTGAGATTATCTCACACCTTGCTTGTAGCCGTAGTGTGAGGGTTCAATTTTTGAGACATGGAATTGGACTCCTTGTAGGCGCAGTGTACAAACAGCTTTTGTTCCCTAACCTGTTGGAACACATCCCGCGAATTACGTCCCTAACAAAGCTTTAGGAACGGTGCGATGGGGTTTTCAAGGTTGGGGTTCAACTTTTTTTAAAAATTATCCTAACATGGTCAAAATCAGCTTTTGAATTTTCAAAAGATATGTACTGACAAATTTACAGGTTGCAAGGCAGCTAGATGGTTGCCCAGAATTGAAGATCTTGATTTGTTGGTGACGTTCTTTTAGTTTGTTCTTTTCTTTGGATATGGGTTGAGTTTTTCAGAGCATAATTAAATTTGACAAATGGACAAAAGTTGAAGAGAAGCAAATGAAAGACATGCATAAAAATTCCCATAGAATTCAGAATGGATTGATGTATCACTAAAACATTGGATTTTACGAGAAAACAAGCATATATATTGTACAAGACCCACCAAGAAGAGCAGAGGTTTGACCTGTATCGGCCGGAAATTTTACATTAGGAAGTGCTGCAGATGTTTCGAATTAGCATTTTTTTTTCATTCGTAGGATGACCATTTCAACTAGGAAATGTTTGCAGTTGCCGTACTTTCATTTTGAATAAGCTCCAATAGGTTAATCATAGATAAGACAAACTCGTTTTGTTCTCGTTATTGTTCTTGCTAAAATTATGGTTTTTTTTTCGTCTATTCTCGTTCTCGTTGATAACATAGGAAGGCTCTTTTAAGCCTTACAAAGAAGACCTTCTATCTGGTGGAATTTTGTTTGTTGTGGATGTCTAGATGGCATGAAGTGATCACGAGTCCCTGAAAACTCATCTTTTCGAATCCACCATCTATGTTAATTAATGAAATTTGTTGACATCCAGCTTAGGTCTGTATTGAAAATTCTGTGTTCGTTTCCAGGTTTGCAGTTCATTTTCTTTCAGTTTAGTATCTCATTTGCAAAAATTTTAGTTCCTCTGAGGCAATTGGTGGCCACTCCATTATTGCTGTTGCTTTTCTAATGATTTTGTAGTTCCCTTGATAAATCATACTCTATTATGTTTCGCTTTCTCCCCGCATTACATCTTTCATTTGACATTCTCTTTGATAAAATATCTCAAGGAAGATCCGACAGATAATAAATACAGAAAAATAAATGAGAAACTATGAATCTCTCTCTGATTGATATATTATGTACTGCATTGCAGTCTATGCTTGTTAGGATGAATGTCTTTGACCCAATCTTTTCGATATATTAATTTTTCGATAGAGGGCTTATGTTTGAAAACACAACGAGAAGATAGCAGTCATTACAAGTCGTCGTCATCAGTTGGAAACGAATCTCCTTGAGACGTAAATTTTGAACTCAAGGTTTAAATTATTGTTGGTGTGTGAGCATGTATTTTGGATTCTAGCCAAATTTGGTGTAGGGTTAAGAAAATTGGCTGATTTTGTTGTCCATTTTGTGATATCATAAGACAAAAAGTAATGTGATATTTAGTCTCACTGGGGTTATAACTCCAATCTAAGTGATATTAAATGATGGGTGTGTTGATACACTAAAAGTGCAGCCCAAATCAAATAGCCCAAAGAGTGAAGCCCAATTGGGAATCCAGGATGAAGGTCCAAACAGGATTATTGATAAATGCGGTGGAAGCCCACGAACATGGTAACATCATCGTCCAAACTTGCAAGACGCCCAAAATCTAAGCGAATAGCATACCTTACGGTCGCCCAGAGCGATGACCATGTTCTCGCCCAAGCCTTCAAATCGCCCAGGATCTTAGCAAACATAAAACATTATAATTATCCAGAATAACAGTTATTGAAGCAGTTATTGAGTGGTCTTATCACATTCCACGAATTAAGGAGCCCAGTTGAAGGCGGTTGAACGACAAAGAGTAAGGACGACAGTTAGGGACGGCAGTTCCCCTACAAGTTAGCCACTATAAATAAAGTAGGTAGTTATACAGCAATCAAGCAATTTCCAAGCGGTTGTCACGAAGAAATCATCAATGGAATATAAAAGGAAGAGAAGACCCCGAATCAAACACTCTCAAACAGAGAATATGTAATTTCAATTTCTTAATTTAAACTTAAACATTTCTTTCAGTACTCGTGTGCTTACGCCCCTTGGAGGAATTCTGTTCAGTTCCAATTGTAAATCATCGCCAATAAAACACCCCTTTTTGGGATTCTGTCTCAAGAGGTTTGTTCCTTACACAATCGTCTGATCATTTTTTAATTGTTAGCGACTATCCGCGCAAAATAATTTGGCATGCCCAGTGGGACGTTGGTGTTTGGTGTTGAAGATACAAAAGGTGAAATAATATGCCTCACAAATCTGATAAGGAAGCAGCAAGTCAGGGAGGAGTCCAGTCTGTGATCGAGCGATATAAGGAGCAGCATAGCTCTCCACGAACAGAGGGACAGAGTCAGAGTAGTCACAATCGTTACGAACCAATGACAGAGTTGAGTCCTCGAATCATGCGTGCATTACTTGGAGAACTCACACAGGATGTCGTTGAACATGTAAATCTACGAAATAATCATAATATGAAAATATTTACCCAGAATGGGAATGTACATTATGACAACATGGCCAAACAACTGAATACTTTGAATGAAATAATGAATAAGTCAGTAGGCTAAATTTGTCAGCCAATTGTGCCTCTTACAAATCACTTTCAAATTAGGACAATTGTGAGACATAATCCCCCAGTCCTAAGTCCAAATCAAGGGATAGAACCACCTTTTGGTCCCTCTACTTCAAACCAGGGGGATGGTGTAATACCAAATCAGAATAGTGGTAATGGTACAACTAACTGGGGGGGTAACCTAAATGTAAGAGACAATGTCCTAAATAATGAATAGAATGCCCCACGTGTTAATGATGGAATAAATATTCAGGCTAATGGTAACAATGGCTCAAATCAAGGCAACTTTGTTGCCAACCAAGGACCAAACATCAGGCTTCAAGCAAATCAACCGATCAACCAACCTATAGGAATTTCATATAACCCCAACGTCATGTTGAGGAATCAAATTATGGAAATAGTACAGGATCAGATGGTGTTTGAAGTACGTCCTGTCATTAGGCCGACTTATACAAAACCATATCCTGATTGGGTAGACCAAGCATATCCATGGCCCGGAGGGTATAAAGTGCCAGAATTCTCACTATTTACCGATTTAGGAGAGGTGTCTACTCTAGAACACATAGGGTAATGAACTTGAAAAGTAAAATTCTTACATATATATTATGCATGGTCTCTCTTATATCTTCCTTGTTCTAACAAGTACATTTTTTTTGCAATATATATATATAGAAGTTAAGAAATGAATGAGCATAGTAACAATGACAATTTATTCTTCTTTTAGTTGGTTATGTATAGGACATTTTTATTTTCTCCATTTTGAACCTTAGGATTTGATTATGTGGATGCTTCATTTAAATTAGTATAACGTGTGCACTAGTTGTTCTAATGATTTTTAAGTCAGCTTAATGGATGTTTCAGTTTCCATACGACAAATTGGCAAATGCATCTTTGCAATCGCATGGCTGTCAGTAGCAGTTGAAGAAACCAAAAAATATCTAAAAATGAGAAATATGGTGAATATTGTGGCAACAATGGCGATCATAAATTTTTTGATGGATGTGGAGTGACTTAGTAACATAATAAGTTATTCATGTTTTTGGGTGATAGTTGTTAGGTCTAAAAATTACTACAATTAACATGTATGTCTAATGGCCCTCAAAAAGGGTTCTTCTCACGTACCAGTTTATCGTGAAATGAACATTTATGTTTAGATCGTCGAGGATTGCTTGATTGGAGTCGTTGGATAGCTCGAACAAGGAATTAATTCATCTCAATGCAAATTCAAACAAATTAACATAAATATTAGTAGACCATGCCTTACATGAGAGCATAGTGCCATGTACAAATGCCACGAAATTACAAATATCAATAAGCTTTTGGGAATTGAAATTTAATTGTGGTTTTCAACAAAATAAGGAAGATTATAAATCTCAAAAAAGAACTAAAATACCTTTACCAAACTCCTACATATAAATAGGTCATTGCACAATTAAAAAATAAAATTGGAATACAAGAAATTTAAGAGAAAAAACTCTAGAAAAATTACACAATTGGCTTTAATGAGTTGAAATTTACTGTCCATTTTTGCTATTCATCCAATTACAATTTGACACATTGGAAAATTAAAATTGATAACAACTTTAATTTTTTCATGATGTGTCAATTTAAAATTTGATGGATAACAGATCTCAACTCTACTTTAATAAAAATACATCCTAAATTTTTGAGAGCAACTTTGACGATTTTGCCTAAGGCTCCCAAATTGATTGAGCCGTCTCTATAAACATCATATCACAATTGATCTTTAACATTATTCATGTACGACACGCTAAAACTAAATATGATAAAACAGGGAATCTAACGAATTAATGTCTTTAGATTAAAATCTTTGAAAGAGTGCCTTTTTTTTTTTTTGGTTAATAACCTGACATAGTTATAAATTGGTATTACTATGTGATAATGTTCAAAACCATTTCAGTATGACTGTTATTTAAGTAATTCTAATTAACTTAACCATAGGGTTAAAATTTAGATGGTCATTGAACTTTTCATGATATTTTTCATTGGCCATTGAACTATAAAATTTTTCGAGATGGTCATCAAACTTGTCAAAATGTTATCCCATCATCTGACACTCAATGATTTACGATTTGAACAATTGACTGAATCGCTGAAGATGCAAACATAATTGTGCATGTGGC